TAATTTTCCTTTAAATCTTAAAATATTAGTACTAAAAGTACTAATATACTCACGAGGCAATTAACGCCATGTTCACAATCAGTGGGTAAAAGTAGATGAGTATTAAATATCCAGTAGAATTTTTAGGACTATTAATGCATTAAAAAACATTAAAGGGGGTAATAGTATTATTAAATGGGAGGTATAACTATAACTATAAGGGCAACGGTTATGCTTGCCAGTTCACATAGCCATGTGTAAACGCGTACTGCGTGACGCGCTTGTTTCACAAGCGAGAGGGCTCTGGTTAGAGCAAGCTTGCCAGCACTGTTATTAGTGTAGCTACTACTAGCTAGTAGCGTATTCGCTTTATTACCATTAGCGTATTTGCTTTATTACTATTAGCGTATTTGCTTTATTACCATTAGCGTATTTGCTTTATTACTATTAGCGTATTTGCTTTATTACTATTAGCGTATTTCCTTTATTACTATTAGCGTATTTGCTTTATTACTATTAGCGTATTTGCTTTATTACCATTAGCGTATTTGCTTTATTACTAGTTGCGTATTTGCTTTATTACTATTAGTTAAGTGTCATCAAACAAATGATACGACGTATTCCAGGGTGATCTGCTGAAGACTCAACTAGTTTCGGCCTTTGAGGGCCATCCACAGGAGTGTCACTGTCACCTAGCAGAAGTCAAAAATTTAATAAATTTAATAAACTGATATCAGAAGAATATGTCATATTAGTAAACATACGGTTAATTAATTTGAAAATCCATAGTAAAGTTACAAACTCATGGGGCAGAAAAAATCCACAGGAGTGTCACCTCAAATTATTTGTTATATAGTAGTGTTGAAAGTATTACTATTAGCGTACTAGTAGTATTTGCGTTACTAGTGTATGAGACGCTGTTAATCAGATAGTTGTCTCAGGTTTGTTATTATAGCCCTGTTTATACACAGCTTAATAAAGAGCACTCCTATTTCCGGGCTCGTCCAATTGCACTTTTATTGTACACTTCACCGGTACCAGCGCACACGCAATTATTGTGCTCTGAACTGTCTTAAATTCCTTGTTAATTGTTTATATACGCACCGCAGCTTGCTATTCGCTCCGAATTTTATTCACACGCTTTATTGTCGTAATTGCTTAATTTTTTAATTGTATCGTTACATTTTATACATATATATACATATGTTATATTTTACAAGTGCACCAGATGGTGATTTGCCTCGTATAAAAGTCGTGTTAATAATGTATAGTACTGTGTCTTGTTGAACGTCACGCTCGTGTCATGTCACGCTCGTGTCACGTCACGCTCGTGTCACGTCACGCTCGTGTCACGTCACGCTCGTGTCACGTCACGCTCGTGTCACGTCACGCTCGTGTCACGTCACGCTCGTATCACGTCACGCTCGTGCTGATGAGCGTGTCACTATACTACTATCTCTCCGTGTAGATTGTAGAAAACGTCTACATACCTACTGGAATATGAACTAACAATATCCATCATATAATTGGTTTTAAGCCTATCAGAAACGTGTCAATTACACACACATAGAACTACAGTTTATGATTCGATGAACGCTTTGTTTATTTTCCTTGAAATAGCAGTCTACAACTTGTCAACTCCGGAACTATAAGCCACAATGTATTACTATCTTGTATACAAATTTACCGCATAGCAATTTTCACCTTCGTCGTCTAAGTCAGACCAACATTATTAAATACATTCTTCACACTTTATACGGTACACCCTGTACATTCTGGGAACTATAACACTTCTTTGTAACTTGTAGCGCTGTGAACTACACTTCTTTGTAACTTGTAGCGCTGTGAACTACACTTCTTTGTAACTTGTAGCGCTGTGAACTACACTTCTTTGTAACTTGTAGCGCTGGGAACTACACTTCTTTGTAACTTGTAGCGTTGGGAACTACACTTCTTTGTAACTTGTAGTGCTGGGAACTGCACTTCTTTGTAACTTGTAGTGCTGGGAACTACACTTCTTTGTAACTTGTAGCGCTGGGAACTACACTTCTTTGTAACTTATAGCGCTGGGAACTACACTTCTATGTAACTTGTAGTGCTGGGAACTACACTTCTTTGTAACTTGTAGCGCTGGGAACTACACTTCTTTGTAACTTATAGCGCTGGGAACTACACTTCTTTGTAACTTGTAGCGCTGGGAACTACACTTCTTTGTAACTTGTAGCGCTGGGAACTACACTTCTTAATTGTAACTTCAAACTTGTAGCGCTATGGCACCAGATACGTCATACTCGTGTATAATGTTATGCGTTTGGAACTTGTTATAGTTTCATAATTTTAATTCAACGTGTTATAGTTTCATAGTTTTAATTCAACGTGTTATAGTTTCATAGTTTTAATTCAACGTGTTATAACTTATAGTTTCATAGTTTTAATTCAACGTGTTATAGTTTCATAGTTTTAATTCAACGTGTTATAGTTTCATAGTTTTAATTCAACATGTTATAGTTTCATAGTTTTAATTCAACGTGTTATAGTTTCATAGTTTTAATTCAACGTGTTATAGTTTCATAGTTTTAATTCAACGTGTTATAACTTATAGTTTCATAGTTTTAATTCAACGTGTTATAGTTTCATAGTTTTAATTCAACGTGTTATAGTTTCATATATTTTTAATTCAACGTGTTATAGTTTCATAGTTTTAATTCAACGTGTTATAGTTTCATAGTTTTAATTCAACGTGTTATAGTTTCATAGTTTTAATTCAACGAGTTATAGTTTCATAGTTTTAATTCAACGTGTTATAGTTTCATAGTTTTAATTCAACGTGTTATAGTTTCATAGTTTTAATTCAACGTGTTATAGTTTCATAGTTTTAATTCAACGAGTTATAGTTTCATAGTTTTAATTCAACGTGTTATAGTTTCATAGTTTTTATTCAACGTGTTATAGTTTCATAGTTTTAATTCAACGTGTTATAGTTTCATAGTTTTAATTCAACGTGTTATAGTTTCATAGTTTTAATTCAACGTGTTATAGTTTCATAGTTTTAATTCAACGTGTTATAGTTTCATAGTTTTAATTCAACGTGTTATAGTTTCATAGTTTTAATTCAACGTGTTATAGTTTCATAGTTTTAATTCAACGTGTTATAGTTTCATAGTTTTAATTCAACGTGTTATAGTTTCATAGTTTTAATTCAACGTGTTATAGTTTCATAGTTTTAATTTGAGGTTTTTGCCCATTATATATAAATGCAAAACGTCTCTCTCGTAATTGCTGAACTGCACTGTTTGATACACTGTCCGTGTTAATACGTACACTGTCCAGATGACAGTCCGGCAAACAGTTATAACTTATATTTATTCGCCTATATATAAAGTATATATACTATATACCTATATAAGTATATATTATACTAAGATACTAATCCTATATATACAGTCTTTTTGCCTTCCAAATTCTCCTGTGAACACATTTGTGCACCTAATTGAATATTCCCGTTCAGAAGCGTTACACTGGCATCCCCCTCATAATGCATAACTCTATGCTTGTTGAAAACACTGCCATTTCCCAGCTGGGTGTTTTACACACGCTTGTATTCTGTAGCAGGGAGGAGCTATTCTGTTGTTTGTGTAAGGTTTCCTTCACACAAAACATCTGTACGATACCCAAGTACAATGTACAATGTACAATGTACAATGTACACATTCCTAGCTGTAAATGGTGATTGGTCGGGTGTGAGAGCGTGTAATTTGTCATCGCAGTGTAGTTGATCTATATGAAATTCTTTGTGTTTATCTAATCTGTTATATAGCTTGTTCGAGAGTGTGTTATTGTTATATTGCACCTATTTTTATCCACCATCCAACATTTTTCTGGCGATGTTTTGCAAGCCGTCAGTTTCTTAACTCTGCTTACCATTGCATCTATTCATGTTTAATGGTAGTAATATTAACCTAGATATTTGTAGAATGCTCACTTTTAGTTTGTGAGGGAGACTGCACATTGCACAAGGTGTGAAATGTGTTACTTTGTGTTACAAGGTGTGTGTTACTGTGCAGTGTTCAGCCATCATGTGTGTTACTTTGCTGAACACGCTTCCCCGACCCCCTTATCCTATAAGCGCCTACTCAAACTCACTTTTGTCTTGTCGGTTTATCTTCGGAATGCTGTTGGTTCTCTCACAATATTGTTTTAGTCAACAGTATAGGGTGCACTCAGATATACAGAGAGTCTACACTTGCGATACTTAAACATTAAATGTTTGACATGCCAACGATTGATATCAAGTATCAGATTTACTATGATAATCATTAGTCAGTACGTCATGATATATCGAGGTGTTTGTGAAATATTTAGAATTCCTCTCGTCTAGTCCTACGTAAATAAGGAGTATGAGTTCACTCTAAGGTTTAGCTTAGTAATATGTACACTTCCTACACCCCTTCCTTTCTAGTCTTCACTCTGTTATAGAGGTATATGCATAAAGACCTTCCATCAATTTCGCTATAATTATGCTAAGAATTATGAGCTTCTTGCAGTTTAATCTGGTTTTGTGTTACAACTCACTGTACATCAGATAACTGATCAAATTCTCGAGTTTATCCCAATAATCGTTGTTGGATTATCATTTACTCGCTTTCTGCGTTGGACGTTGTTAAATGTATATATTATCGCATGTATATGTACATTGTACTTGTTATAAATATCCACAGTTCTAGTCATTTATAGTTGTAAGCTGTCCAGTTAAATTATAAACACTAAGAAATTGAGCCTTATACATTGAAATGTCGTAATGTTTGTTGTTTTTTTTGTAGTATTACCTCAATAAATGTATTTAATTGTAGTTGTGAACATTATTTAAAACTATTCACAACTACAATTAAATAAATGTATTGAGGTGATACTCCCTTGTGAGCTTGTGGATGGCCGTAAAAAGCCGAAACTAGTCGAGTCACAAGCGGGTCGCCTCGATCAGGTACATCGTCTTCATGTTTCCATGACTACTTCCAATTGTAAGATAGTGGTCTGTATAAGTGACGTAGGATGACACGAACCGGAACATTTGACACTCTAAGTGATCAGTGCAGTATAGCAGACGCTCAAAGAACTTGGAGTCATGCCAAGAAGAAACTCAGACGACAATTCAGAAAAAATGCCAGACAGGTAAACCAATCAATTGATAGCCGAATTAGGCCGGACAATTGTATCTCTTGTATTTCTGTTAGCCCGACATGCTCCACCCCTACATGATACGAGACTCAACAATAGTTTTGCAGTTGTTGGAAGACGTAGTGGACAGAGTTAACAATAGTTTTACAGTTGTTGGAAGACGTAGTGGACAGAGTTAACAATAGTTTTGCAGTTGTTGGAAGACGTAGTGGACAGATTTAACAATAGTTTTGCAGTTGTTGGAAGACGTAGTGGACAGAGTTAACTATGAGCCTTGGTCGGAGGACCATAAGATAGACTTTGTGCTGGTCTACCAACCCATAAAGAAATACATGGACTCTTCCAATGGATTAGGTTTGATTTAAAATCAATAAGTTAAATACATGTAATAATACACTCTGTCAAGTTTTTGGTGCAGGCTGTTTACAGTTTCCTTGAAGTTTTTATAAAGTTGTTAGTATTAAGAATACTAATACACATACTACACAAGTATGTGTATATAGAAGGGTATGTATGTGTATATAGAAGGGTATGTCCAGCTAACACCTCCCCTTCAGTGGACGCAAACCCCCGACAGATAGATCAGGATGATATAGAGGAGTTGAAGAAGGGAGCAAAGGGAGATAAAGCGGCCATCATGAGAGTCGAATATATCAACCTGCTCCGGGAGAATGGGCTCGAGATAGAAATTGAGGTTTTTGCTTTTATTTTCTGAACCAAAAACTAACGTCAGAAATAGTTACTGTTTTTAAAGTGTGTTCATGTCTTTGAAACGTTATTTTTTCAGAATTTCTGTTCCAAGTTTGAGGAGTATAGAGCGATCAAAATATGTGGAACTGATTACGCAATGGACAACTGGGCAGAAAAGTTCCTGCTCATGAAACCAGTGGAGCCACCTTTTGGTGAGTGAGAGTCATCAAGAGTGATGATAGATCTGGCTTGCTACTTTTATTTTTAACAGTAGACTTGGAAATTCTTAGATCGGTACGCTTAAATATTGATAGAACCGTTATTTTACGCTATCAGAGAGCTACACAGAGAAGCCACTTATAGCTAGGTGAAAAGTATATGATAAATACATAATTTGAAATTTGAAGCGGCTTTACTTTGAGATTGGTCATTGGAGCCATCAATGGCAATCCTTTTTGTTTTTCTACTAACGGCTGATTACCAACATGACCGTACCATCATATTGGTCTACAGACAAATAGAATATGATAGTGCAGATAATACAAATAGAATATGATAGTGCAGATAAAACAAATAGAATATGATAGTGCAGCTATGATAGCACGACACATTAGTCACCGTGATCCACCAAACACCTCCTGTTTCTCAAGATAACCTAGTGAGCGGTTGGAGGACGGAGCGTCGACTACACCAAGACAGGGACCTCTACACTCGACAGAAGTCCGAACAGGGTGCGTGTAGTGAGTAGTGAGTTTGTGTGAGTTTGTGTGAGTTTGTGTGAGTTTATGTGAGTTTGTGTGAGTTTGTGTGAGTTTGTGTGAGTTTGTGTGAGTTTGTGTGAGTTTATGTGAGTTTGTGTGAGTTTGTGTGAGTTTGTGTGAGTTTGTGTGAGTTTGTGTGAGTTTGTGTGAGTTTATGTGAGTTTGTGTGAGTTTGTGTGAGTTTGTGTGAGTTTGTGTGATCAGTATGTGTGAGTAGTATGTGTGAGTAGTATGTGTGAGTTTGTGTGAGTTTGTGTGAGTTTGTGTGAGTTTGTGTGAGTTTGTGTGAGTTTATGTGAGTTTGTGTGAGTTTGTGTGAGTTTGTGTGAGTTTGTGTGAGTTTGTGTGATCAGTATGTGTGAGTTTGTGTGAGTTTGTGTGAGTTTGTGTGAGTTTGTGTGAGTTTGTGTGAGTTTGTGTGAGTTTGTGTGATCAGTATGTGTGAGTTTGTGTGAGTTTGTGTGAGTTTGTGTGAGTTTGTGTGAGTTTGTGTGAGTTTATGTGAGTTTGTGTGAGTTTGTGTGAGTTTGTGTGAGTTTGTGTGAGTTTGTGTGAGTTTATGTGAGTTTGTGTGAGTTTGTGTGAGTTTGTGTGAGTTTGTGTGAGTTTGTGTGAGTTTGTGTGAGTTTATGTGAGTTTGTGTGAGTTTGTGTGAGTTTGTGTGAGTTTGTGTGATCAGTATGTGTGAGTAGTATGTGTGAGTAGTATGTGTGAGTTTGTGTGAGTTTGTGTGAGTTTGTGTGAGTTTGTGTGAGTTTGTGTGAGTTTATGTGAGTTTGTGTGAGTTTGTGTGAGTTTGTGTGAGTTTGTGTGAGTTTGTGTGATCAGTATGTGTGAGTTTGTGTGAGTTTGTGTGAGTTTGTGTGAGTTTGTGTGAGTTTGTGTGAGTTTGTGTGAGTTTGTGTGATCAGTATGTGTGAGTTTGTGTGAGTTTGTGTGAGTTTGTGTGAGTTTGTGTGAGTTTGTGTGAGTTTGTGTGATCAGTATGTGTGAGTTTGTGTGATCAGTATGTGTGAGTTTGTGTGAGTTTGTGTGAGTTTGTGTGAGTTTGTGTGAGTTTGTGTGAGTTTGTGTGAGTATGTGTGAGTTTGTGTGAGTTTGTGTGAGTTTGTGTGAGTTTGTGTGAGTTTGTGTGATCAGTATGTGTGAGTTTGTGTGATCAGTATGTGTGAGTTTGTGTGATCAGTATGTGTGAGTTTGTGTGAGTTTGTGTGAGTTTGTGTGAGTTTGTGTGAGTTTGTGTGAGTTTGTGTGAGTTTGTGTGATCAGTATGTGTGAGTTTGTGTGATCAGTATGTGTGAGTTTGTGTGAGTTTGTGTGAGTTTGTGTGAGTTTGTGTGAGTTTGTATGAGTTTGTGTGAGTTTGTGTGAGTATGTGTGAGTTTGTGTGAGTTTGTGTGAGTTTGTGTGAGTTTGTGTGAGTTTGTGTGAGTTTGTGTGAGTTTATGTGAGTTTGTGTGAGTTTGTGTGAGTTTGTGTGAGTTTGTGTGATCAGTATGTGTGAGTTTGTGTGAGTTTGTGTGATCAGTTTGTGTGAGTTTGTGTGAGTTTGTGTGAGTTTGTGTGAGTTTATGTGAGTTTGTGTGAGTTTGTGTGAGTTTGTGTGAGTTTGTGTGAGTTTGTGTGAGTTTGTGTGAGTTTGAGTGATCAGTATGTGTGAGTTTGTGTGAGTTTGTGTGATCAGTTTGTGTGAGTTTGTGTGAGTTTGTGTGAGTTTGTGTGAGTTTGTGTGATCAGTATGTGTGAGTTTGTGTGAGTTGTGAGTTTGTGTGAGTTTGTGTGATCAGTATGTGTGAGTTTGTGTGATCAGTATGTGTGAGTTTGTGTGATCAGTTTGTGTGAGTTTGTGTGAGTTTGTGTGAGTTGTGAGTTTGTGTGAGTTTTTGTGAGTTTGTGTGATCAGTATGTGTGAGTTTGTGTGAGTTGTGAGTTTGTGTGAGTTTGTGTGACTTTGTGTGAGTTATATAGCGAGTGGTTTGTCTGGATTGGAACGAACATTTCATCATTCGACGTTTTACCCCATCTACATTCAAATTTTGGGTCTGTCTGGGTATTTGTGTTAGGCTTAGGGTTGCGGTTGGGTTAGGGTGAATACTGAGGGTCAAACGTTGTGAGATGAAATGTTGATCACGAAAAGTAGCAAATATTATTGCTATGAAGTGAGCGCTGAACTTGCCATGAAATGAGCGCTATACTTGCCATGAAGTGAGCGCTGAACTGCGGGGTTGTGTCGGAGAAACATGGTTTTTACGTGCTATCATCACAGCAACCATGTTTCTCTTGCATTTCTCCGAGGTACGCTTGCTTAGCTAGTGCATGGTGGCCAAGATGGGCACATTTGGGCACCGTGTTATACACAGTGTTATAGTACGTATATACAGTGTATATTAGTGTCAGATTTAGCTTTACCCGTGTGTCCAATAGAACAGGCTGAAGTGATAGCAGAGTGTGAGGAATGTGATGAAATGCCGGAGGGGAGTGCACCACAACAGGGAGCCGAAATCTCCCACTCTTTTACTCGGCAGCAGTCTGAACCAGCTCCTCCTCGCCACTCTACCCACCCTCCCAGACTCTACCCTTCTCTTAGTGGGTACATGGAGGGCAGGGATCATTGGGGCAGGATCCGTAAGTTAACAGCTCGCTGCACGTGACATGTGACATATTATGTGCATATTACCTGACATATGTTGTGCTCGATTGATTTTCCGAGTTATATTACAGATATTATGATTATAAACGATTTCTTTGCTTGTCTGTGGAATCACCCTCTCATTATGGCTGGGATTATTAGAGGATGCTGATGAGATTGCTGGTCTTTATTTCCTATGTTTATGTACGAAAACCGATATGCATGTGTATTTTATAATCTAACATAATCTAAAATCAATAACATGGTGGTAGTTTAATAGGTTCTCCCAACGAACATTTGTTAATTGTGTTGTGTCCAGGGGGTTTGTTCATATCTAACTCCAAGCTGATTGGTTGGTAGCTGTTCGCGTGTCAAAACAAATGCTTTCTGTCTCCGTTCTCTACTGTAAAGTGCAATCATTATAAGCTCATACATGCAACTTGGTAATCACAGTAAATCACACTGTATATTGACAACCTTATATCGCCATTCGATTGGATTTCTGACAGGGGAAGTCCTGCAATATTAGCACAATATTGATACTATCTTGTGAGGCTAGTTCTAATACACTTTAGTGAAAATTTTGCTGATATGCCAACGAAATTAACTTGCTCTAAAATAAAAAAATAAAAAAACATGTTGTTTTGGCCTAAATTGGGTTTCAACCGCGTAAACTCAATCTAATTATCTCAGGACCACTTTGAATTATACCTACAGTCAAAAATACGGAATATCTGGAGTCCCTAGTGTATCGAGCAGAAAATGCCTGTAAGTCATTCTACTACAGGGCGATATAACATGCGTGACGATATACAGTGTATGTCGAGATACAGTGTGCAAATCATGAAACTTATATAAACCTTGTATGAGAACTACTTAATCAAAGGGTTATACGATCATTAGAACATAACCCTTATTTAAGTCTTTATAAAGTAACCTAAAGACCGCAGTAATTAACATTATCCTTATTTAAGTCTTTACAAAGTAACCTAAAGACCGCAGTAATTAACATTACCCTTATTTAAGTCTTTACAAAGTAACCTAAAGACCGCAGTAATTAACATTATCCTTATTTAAGTCTTTACAAAGTAACCTAAAGACCGCAGTAATTAACATTATCCTTATTTAAGTCTTTACAAAGTAACCTAAAGACCGCAGTAATTAACATTACCCTTATTTAAGTCTTTACAAAGTAACCTAAAGACCGCAGTAATTAACATTATCCTTATTTAAGTCTTTACAAAGTAACCTAAAGACCGCAGTAATTAACGTTACCCTTATTTAAGTCTTTACAAAGTAACCTAAAGACCGCAGTAATTAACATTACCCTTATTTAAGTCTTTACAAAGTAACCTAAAGACCGCAGTAATTAACATTATCCTTATTTAAGTCTTTACAAAGTAACCTAAAGACCGCAGTAATTAACATTACCCTTATTTAAGTCTTTACAAAGTAACCTAAAGACCGCAGTAATTAACATTACCCTTATTTAAGTCTTTACAAAGTAACCTAAAGACCGCAGTAATTAACATTATCCTTATTTAAGTCTTTACAAAGTAACCTAAAGACCGCAGTAATTAACATTACCCTTATTTAAGTCTTTACAAAGTAACCTAAAGACCGCAGTAATTAACATTATCCTTATTTAAGTCTTTACAAAGGACCTAATTAACTCTCTTAACCCGCCCACTATTAGCAATTAGCATGATTACTGATTATCTCTCTTTACACGAACTCCTGACATGGCCGAATGCCTTATTTCTGAAGCTTATCTTTCTTCCAGCACTGATTAATTTATCCGCCCTCAGGAGCTGTTCTAACCTTGGAGCACGATAAACCGGTAGACAGAATGATAGCTATGTACAATGAGTGTCTCTACGAACTGCCCCCTCCAGAACATGACGATTTAGACAGGGGCAGAACGTTTGACGCTTCCAGGTACGTTCCTCAGACACTGAAGTCTGCTGTGAAGAGTGTTATAGGCAAGTTCAAGTCAGAGTCTTCTGATGCGGAGGGGGACTACGATTCAAGATTAAAAGCGCAGGTTATTTAAAATGTTTATTATTTTTAAGTCAGATTTGATTCTTTAAAATTAATAGAGTGACTGCTTGTTTTGACTTTTAGTGAATAGATACATGTATAATGTATATGTATTATGTTTATTCGCTCTTGCTTAGTTGTGAATCTAAACAATTTATAAACCTAGATGGAGAACGGTAGGAAGAAAGGTGAAAGCGAGTACAGAGAGTCAGCTGCGTTCAAACAACTTACCTTCCAAAATGAACGGTATCACAAGTTGTGGACCACTAAAATAGAGAACGCTATCTTTTCTATCCTACATCGCAGCGATGACAGACTCAACTTAACTAAAGACAATCTCCTCGCCAGGTTTTTTAAATACTTTAGTACAGTTATACCTCATACTCTATAACTCTAACTCTAAGTCTAGAGAAAGGCAAATTATCAGAACAGATCATTTAATACAGATCATTTGATATCTTTGTTGTCCATCTGACCTGGTTTAAAGAGATTAAGTTTTGTATCTGACTATACAACAGACTTATATAGCTACTAACTACTCACAAATATCTTCTTTACAGAGCGATCCGAGCTCCGTTCAACTACTCAAAGAAAACTAAATTTCTTGGTCACGATGACCCTGAGTTCTACAACAGATCAGAGAGATCACTAATGGTAATTACTACTACTACTACTACTACTACTACTACTACTACTACTAATAATTAGTATTATATATATTATTATATATAATACGTATAGTATATTTTAATATTGAATACCTTTTTGTGGGTCTTGTAATCGGAATTTCAAACTTACTTGCAGTTCAGTTTGATCATGTTAATGTTGCCCGCTATCAGTCTGAGACTGGTAGGGACTGATTCAGTCTCCTTGGTACTCGAGATGTTGTAATGCTGTTTCTCCCAGGTATTCAGGATTCTCGAAAACCCAGAAGCAAATGAAAGCAAGTTAAAAGCTGGTTACAAGCTGAGCGACATGTACCGAGAGGGGTGTTTTGAAACAGCATACCCGCTACATGCTGGAGGGTATAAGATTAGATGTGATGTCTCTGGAAAAAAACAAAAGTGGAGTGAGATCGACATCGAAGGTATGGCACTTGTGTCTTAACTTTTTGCTCTGAAATATCAGATTATGATAACAGGTTATTTCATTTCCAGCAAGATCAGCAGTAACAGCTCTCTCCTCGCCCTCAGAACAGATAGACAATCCCAGAAAGTTACTGCGGTACTTTTGGAGCTCGTCTCATATGAAGTGGAAGTTCCAACCCCTCAACATTGTGAGAAACTACTTCGGATCTGTTACTGCCATGTACTTTGCTTATGTCGGTGAGTCACATACTGGGGGGGGGGGGGTGAGTCACATGCTAGGGGGGGGGGGGGGGGGGTGGGTGAGTCACATTTCTTCTGAGATATCAGCATCATAGACTTAGCAAATAATTTTTATGGAATCCAGTCACAAACTTTCCATGCTTCTGATACAGTTGGATGTTCAGAAACTCACACATTTAAAAAATGTAAATCTTTTCAAACAATTCATAATTGTGTAGAATTGAATGCTTCTAAATAAACCCAGATATACATTATACAAGGAGTAGCTCAGTATATCGGAATTATGTCACCAAAACACCGTAGTGTGCAGTAAGAAATACCATACCCGCAATAACATTGGGACCTATACTATAAGCGAATAAACATCTAGGAACACTTGAATTTAATTTGTCCGTTTAAAACCTTTAGAGTAGTCCCCACTAAAGCCGGTGTGTGTATTCCAGGATTCTACAACATGTCCCTGGTGATACCTGCTATAGCAGGAACTGCTGTTTTCATATACGGTCTGCTGCAGATGACTTGGACTGACACAGCACGGCATATTTGTGAAAGCGGGGAAAAATATTTGATGTGTGCGGACTGCTATATAGATGGAACCTGCAACGCTACTTATTTGTCAGACTATTGCTTCACTACCAGTGTAATAATCAAGAAGTTCTTATTTCATTCATATTTACTTTTTTCTGTTCATCGTTAATAATGTACTCGCCAGTTCTCGTTGTAATAAACATTTTGAATTATTGATTCTCCATTGTAGATAACGAGTGTGGCTAACAACGGTGCAGTTATAGTATTTTCTATAATCATGATGGCCTGGCTAGCGATATTCGTGACGTTTTGGAAGCGACAGCAGAGTACTATAGCACACACCTGGGGTACAACTAACAGTAGGAGTGCTTCGGTAAGGCACATTAACTACTAGTTACCATAGTTACACTACTAGTTACCATAGTTACACTACTAGTTACCATAGTTACACTACTAGTTACCATAGTTACACTACTAGTTACCATAGTTACACTACTAGTTACCATAGTTACACTACTAGTTACCATAGTAACACTACTAGTTACCATAGTTACACTACTAGTTACCATAGTAACACTACTAGTTACCATAGTTACACTACTAGTTACCATAGTAACACTACTAGTTACCATAGTTACACTACTAGTTACCATAGTAACACTACTAGTTACCATAGTTACACTACTAGTTACCATAGTTACACTACTAGTTACCATAGTTACACTACTAGTTGCCATAGTTACACTACTATATTAAATGAAATATTGATAATATCAATTTTAATATGAGTTCACCATCATCACATCCCTGTCATGCGAATTTTAAATTTTTCAAGATATTCTTAGTTCACTCTGCATTCAGGCAGAAGTGAGGGTAAAGTACAAACTGACCAAAACTAAAGTGTTCCGATGGAATGATGTAACGAAGACAAGAGAACAACACATAACCTTTCTACACAGACTTCCTCAATACTTCCTGGGGTTCACCGTCGTCGCTATATTAGTTAGTAGCTATATTAGTTAGTGGCTATATTAGTTAGTAGCTATATTAGTTAGTAGCTATATTAGTTAGTAGCTATATTAGTTTGTTTTTTTTGGAAAACGAAATTAGATATATACAGAATAGTATTACAGGTTATATATTATGAAAATCATCATTGCAAAAATAAAACCCAGTCCATGGGACTGAAAAAATTAGTTGACTTTCGATTCGAAAGAGTTAAATTCTAAATCATCCATGTTAGATAATTCGTAAGTTTTGTTTGAGGTATTTCTTGATCCTCTAATACACAATAAAATTATTATATTAGTTAGTAGCTATATATTAGTTAGTAGCTATATTAGTAAGTAGCTATATTAGTTAGTAGCTATATTAGTTAGTAGCTATATTAGTTAGTAGCTATATTAGTTAGTAGCTATATTAGTTAGTAGCTATATATCAGTTAGTCACTATATTTGTTAGTAGCTATATTAGTAATAAAGTCTAGCATTGAAATCTATTTTAATCTTCTATTTTTTTAAATCTATTTTAAAATCTATTTTCAAAATCTATTTTTAATCTATTTCTAATATATATTTATCTGATTTCAGCTGGCTATGGCAGTTATGATGACCCTTACAATAACTGTCTACAACTACTCGCTAAGCCTTTCAATACAAAGGGCCAAGGATTACAACCCTTTTACTAGAAAATATGCTAATGAGATAGCTATTTGTGTGACGGGAAGTCTCAGCGCTACGCTTATCATCTGCCTATCATACGTGAGTCTTAATAGATAAGTCTTCAGTTAGGTCGAGAAAGTTAGCCTTTATTCCGTCAACAACGTTGTGAGGAATAATAACCACACTTTCCCATTACTGAATACCTGATGCATTAATTTACTCACGTTTTTTGACTGGTTTAAAAATTTGATGAATATTTCCTGATCTTCACCAGGTGTACAGGATAATAGCGAACAAGTTAGCCAACACTACTAGTACTAGTTACCATAGTTACACTACTAGTTACCATAGTTACACTACTAGTTACCATAGTTACACAGATAATGTTACCAGGTGTACAGGATAATAGCGAACAAGTTAACCAACATGGAAAATCACAGAACACAGCGTGATCACGACAATCATCTTTCTTTTAAAATTTACCTGTTTGAGTTTGTCAACTACTACAGCACTTTGTTCTATATTGCCTTCTTCAAGGGAAAGTGAGTACGATGAGCCACTTAGTAATGATAAATCTTTAATTACATTGCTGAATTTATTGTAACCCCTAAATCCTAATATAACAAGAATTTCGCCGCGGTTAAGCCACGCACGATCAATTTTCCCTACGATGTACTTGTACCATTAATTCTTTTGAGTGAAAAGTGTGACTGGAAAAAAGTGCACCATATTTACATACTATGTTTTTTTATAAATGAGTGGGATTCCTGCATGGTAAAAATTGACAATTTATTTGACCAATGCAGCGCCGCGCATCAACAAAAAAGGATCCAGAAAATTTCGGAAAATAACTTTGCGAAGGAGGAATTTCACTGTAATTAATTAACACATGGCTAGCGTCGCGCGCAGCATAACAGACGCTTCCTATAAACTTAATTTTAGGGGAATGGTCTATATTGCGAAGGAGCAGACTTTTGTCATCATCGCAGGTCCATCGGGCCACCTCATATATCCAAACCCGATTACTTATTCCCTACGACCTTTTTGCCTTCGGCAAGAGTAGGGAAAATAAAAGTTGATAACAACGGTATTTCAGTATAACGTCGCCATCTAACCCGAGATATCTGTACGGAACTTCACTGAAGATACAGGGCTGTGCTCCTGGAGGGTGCATGAGTGAGGTAATTAGTTAGTAATCAGTTAGTAATTAGTTAGTAATTAGTTAGTGAGGTAATGGCATTACCTCACTAATCTTTTAAATTACACCGAGTCTTAATTATATAGGTCCTTATTTATTCGCATATTTTCGGTTCGACTTCGACTCGACTTAGGGCGGCTTCAGCGTCCGAACAGAAATAGTCTTCTTCCAAATCTGTCTATCCAGCATGAGTTTGTTAATCTCTTTGCTGTCGTCAAGCCCCGTGTCCTTCCGAAGGATGTCAATGTATGTGAGATGTGGTCTTCCCCTTCGACGATGTCCTTGAAGGGGTTCCCAGAAGAGAAGTTGATGACTCAATAGTTCTTCATGTCTGGCTAAATGACCTGCGAGTCTCATCCTCCGTGCAGCTATCTTATCAGATGCTCTGATGAGGTGTCCATACACCTTGGCGTTAGTCTGCCGCTCTTTCCAGTCAATGTTCAGTGCCATCCTCAGCATTCTCGTATAACATCCATCAATACGTTTTGCGAGGGTCTGGCTGACAGTCCATGTTTCAGAGCCATATAGAAGGATGGACTCGACTGTAGCCAGGAACAGTCGTATCTTGAGATCTCTACGCATATCCGACTTCCATACAAGCTTCATCTGGTGACACGCTCCCCATGCCTTAGCTTTCCTCACTTCGAAGTCCTTCTCCGAACTCTTCATTCTACTACCCAAATATACGAAGTCATCGACTTTCTCAATGTTCTTCCCACTCCCAGCAACCAGAGTCGGGTTATCATCATCTCTTATGTTGATTCCCATGTACTTAGTTTTCCCCTCGTTGAGGTGGAGTCCAACTGAGTTGGCCGCCAGTTCCAGACTCCTGAGGAAATCTTGTGCCTCCGCAACACTATCTGTTATAAGAGCAAGGTCGTCAGCAAAGTCCGCATCAGTGACCTTGACTGCCGGATAGCGACGGCTTCTTCTAGGGTGTAGAGTAAACCCAAAGTCCCTTCCCTCTAGGGACACCCTCATAATGTAGTCAATTACGATTATGAATAGGTAGGGCGCCAAAGTGTCTCCCTGCATCACTCCTGCTAGAATGAAGAATGCTTCACTCAGACCATCCTCGGTAATCACACGAGCAAATGTATCTGCATACATTCTTTGTATCAAGCCTACAATCTCCTTGGGAATTCCATATGCCAGGAGGATCTTCATGAGGAGTCCACGGTGCACGCTGTCGAATGCCTTCTTGAAATCAACGAAGAGCATTACCGCGGTCAGATCTTTATCCCGGGCTCCCTCAAATACCCTTCTTAGGCCAAGAATATGACTAGTTGTTGACCTACTCTCTCTGAATCCGTTCTGATTGATCCTCAAGATGTCTTCCACGGCAGGTTTGATCCTGTTCAGTATCATCTTATTAAGAGTCTTACTCACTATAGATGTCAGTGCAATACCTCTATAGTTATCTACTTTGGTCAAATTCCCTTTCTTTGGAACAGGCACAATGTTTAGGTGCTTCCATTGGTCAGGACATCGCCATCAACTAGTGCTTTAATGCAGAAGTCAAGGATCAAATCATCAACATCTACCCTCTTCAGCACTTCAGGGGCAACTCCATCCTCTCCAAATGCCTTACCTTCTTTAATCGATTTCGTAGCCTCCTCCAGTTCGGTCTTGGTGAACTTATCCACACTGATGTTTTGTGGTGGATGTACGACTGGTATGTCCACTTCTTCGTTTGGGACTACTGGAGGTTGTCCAAGTAGCTTGGTAAAGTGGTCTTTCCAGGCTCTCAATCTACCCTCTCTACTACCTCCTTCTACAAGACCACATGGCTTCTTCTTTCTCCCACTGACCTCATTAACAAGATTCCAGCTCTCTTTGTTCTTGCATCTATCGGCTGCGTTTTCAGCTTTACTTATTTTCTGTTTAAGCAGCTCTTCCTCCACAGTACGGTAGCATGCAGAGAGAGTGTCTTTCTCCTCCTTTTCGGTTCCCAGTTTCGAAATACCGTTTGATGATCCATGATTTTCTATATACGTACTGACAAATAACTGCCACTATAATTTACCTGATAACCAACAACACAGGTATCAATACAGATGATATTAATCATGTCAGTAAAACAGCTGGTCCCGATACTAAAGGACATAATCAGAACCCTGAATATAAACAGGATCCAGGAGGAGTTGAAGTTGAAGTTACTTTCTCCTTTTGTTGGCTGCTGTGAATTCGCTCAAAGGTGGAAAAACATGGCCAAACAAAATCTTGAAGACTTCAGTGAGTATATTATTAAACAAAACCTTAATATGGTTCAATCATTATACTCTTGATCAACATTGTTCAGTTAGAATTGGGTTGTTAATTTTAAGTTACAATTTTTAACTCAATTTAACATCTCCAGAAAACTCCAGATCTCAATATGTTCAAGATTTCGAACTTGCTGAACCTACAGAGATGTACCAGGAGTATGTCAATAACATCATTCAGCTTGGTAAGCTGCAATTGTTTGTAAATGCCGAATTATTTTTCATTAACAAAGATTAAGAATAAAATTTTAATTGTAACAGTGATTATTCTCACACATCAATGCTTGTATATTATTGTGTTCATTTTACTCCAATTTCACACAGGTTTCCTAACTATGTTCGTTACTGCTTTCCCGCTTGCTCCCCTTATTTGTCTCTTTATTAACATATGGCAGGTAATATAACCTAATAAAATTAAAAAACAATTTTAAATTGTACTGCTTTTCGTATTCAATTATATCATGACATCAATATTCTTGCTGACATTTAAAAAATTCGCTATTTAGATTTGTGATTGTAAATTTTTACCATATTGCGACAAATTCCGCCACGATAGCTTGGAATGATAGCTTTTAATTTATTCAAGTAACTTGACTGTGGACCTCTCAGTTACGTCAGGATGCTACCAGATACGTAAAGAGGGTTCGTAGACCTATCGGCTTCAGATCCGAGGGAATAGGTGACTGTTTTTAGTATTACAAAAGATAATACATGTATTATATGTTGGTATATGTATAAAAATCAATATTTAGTATTTAGTATTTAGTACCTTACTCGGGAATATTATAGCGGGTTAATTTATGACTGGGAAAATTAATGACCGGGAAAAATATGGCGGAATTTTCCAAAACCCACCAAGCATCAAAATGTATTACTTTTAGTTTACCTTACTCGGGAACATTATAGCGGGTTAATTTATGACTGGGAAAATTAATGACCGGGGAAAATATGGCGGAATTTTCCAAAACCCACCACTTTATCCCAGTCATAATATTCCCGAGTAAGGTATACAGTTTTTACTTTACGGTGAACAGTTGATGATATTTTGATAGTAACCTAGTTGATAAGAAAACTAATTTATAACCTCTAACTAATTCATCCACTCAGGAACGTGGATGAACATTCTAGAAGTTCTGTCCCGAATAGCCATCCTTGTGAACGCTATTTTGATAGCATTTACTTTTGATTGGTTACCGTTAATGATATATAAGCGTAACTACGAGACCGAAGGGAGCAGCTACGTGGATTTCATGCTGGCTAGCCATGACTTTGTCCGTGAAGAATCTGATGGATCTCAAACAAACCAAACGTGCAGGTAAACACATTTTCGATTTAGTCGAGAAGTTGCTAGAAGCTGATTGATTATTTTAGTGACCGCGAATGAAGCATTGAAGCCGTTCCCATTCTCAACAAGCACTATACTTACATACAAGTCACGTGATAGTCAGTGTTTAACTTGTTTTTTCCATCTTTACAACCCAGAGTTGAGAGAATGCACCTTCATTCTTTTTACTATTAATTTTCACTGTCAGCTGTTTATTTTTCAGTATTATTGCCCGCTGTCAGTTCCCTCGTTCTAATACTAATCTCTTTATTCCCAGATATTGGTCCTACATCCAACCGGCCAGGGCAGATCAGTCCAGATTTTGGTTGGAGCTAATGTTAGCGAGAATGCTCTTCATATTCCTGTTCCAAAACCTGGTGTGGGCGGCGGTCAGAGTCATCGAACTGCTCTGTGACAGCACTCCTAAATTTGTGAAGGAAAGAAGTAAGTGACAGAATTTTCCTGTACATTTTACTTTTTTCATTTTTTCATTATATGTACTAATATAGTAATGCAATAGTTTAAACTTTCAAGGTCCATGTTTTATACCTGTATTGCCTGCAGTGGTGTTGGAAGAGAAGATAGCACAAGAGTGGCTCAGCTCTGATGACGACAGTGGAGGTGAGGATGAAGTTGGTGACGACCGAAGTGCTACTGAAACTATAACCCGCGCTTTTATGTCCAAACGGTAATATACAAGCCTATTTTCTGATACATTTGTTCTAGATAATTTACATTCTGGGTAATGGTAATAACCCCTTTCATTTCAGTTTTACAAATAAATATCGCTTTCAAGTTTAAGAGTAAGTTTTTAGTTTCCCGCATTACGCAAACACAACTCTGTACTAGAGTACACAACTCTTGTAGTTTTACGAAAACATTTATTTCTCAGTAAACCGAATTTGAAAGGTGTGTACCGTGAGTGTATGAGTGTGAGGCGAGGGCGAGAGTGTTACTAGTTTGTTTTGCTTTGCAGTTTGCATGAGTGTGAATATAAATTTGCGCTGTGTTCGATTTTCCCTGATCATACGAAAAAAAATCAATTAAAGCATATTCATATGATCTTATGATGACTAAATAAATTAGTGAGATTTATTTGTTCAACAAAAATTTGCGTTGCATGTCTGATTGTACACAAACATCAATTAAAACTCATATTCATACATTTTTATGTTTGACTCAATAATTCTACAATTTCTTTTTTGAATTGCTACACTTGCAGATACGCACCGACGGACGAAGTTATAGAGGAAGTCTCCAAACCACATCACCCTTTACTCCAAGGAACTGCTAAGCTTTAACCACATCACCCTTTACTCCAAGGAACTGCTAAGCTTTAACCACATCACCCTTTACTCCAAGGAACTGCTAAGCTTTAACCACATCACCCTTTACTCCAAGGAACTGCTAAGCTTTAACCACATCACCCTTCACTCCAAGGAACTGCTAAGCTTTAACCACATCACCCTTCACTCCAAGGAACTGCTAAGCTTTAACCACATCACCCTTTACTCCAAGGAACTGCTAAGCTTTAACCACATCACCCTTTACTCCAAGGAACTGCTAAGCTTTAACCACATCACCCTTTACTCCAAGGAACTGCTAAGTTTTAACCACATCACCCTTTACTCCAAGGAACTGCTAAGCTTTAACCACATCACCCTTTACTCCAAGGAACTGCTAAGCTTTAACCACATCACCCTTCACTCCAAGGAACTACTAAGCTTTAACCACATCACCCTTCACTCCAAGGAACTGCTAAGCTTTAACCACATCACCCTTCACTCCAAGGAACTGCTAAGCTTTAACCACATCACCCTTTACTCCAAGGAACTGCTAAGCTTTAACCACATCACCCTTTACTCCAAGGAATTGCTAAGCTTTAACCACATCACCCTTCACTCCAAGGAACTGCTAAGCTTTAACCACATCACCCTTTACTCCAAGGAACTGCTAAGCTTTAACCACATCACCCTTTACCCCAAGGAACTGCTAAGCTTTAACCACATCACCCTTTACTCCAAGGAACTGCTAAGCTTTAACCACATCACCCTTTACTCCAAGGAACTGCTAAGCTTTAACCACATCACCCTTTACTCCAAGGAACTGCTAAGCTTTAACCACATCACCCTTTACTCCAAGGAACTGCTAAGCTTTAACCACATCACCCTTCACTCCAAGGAACTGCTAAGCTTTAACCACATCAACCTTTACTACAAGGAACTGCTAAGCTTTAACCACATCACCCTTTACTCCAAGGAACTGCTAAGCTTTAACCACATCACCCTTTACTCCAAGGAACTGCTAAGCTTTAACCACATCACCCTTTACTCCAAGGAACTGCTAAGCTTTAACCACATCACCCTTTACTCCAAGGAACTGCTAAGCTTTAACCACATCACCCTTTACTCCAAGGAACTGCTGATCTTTAACCACATCACCCTTTACTCCAAGGAACTGCTAAGCTTTAACCACATCACCCTTTACTCCAAGGAACTGCTAAGCTTTAACCACATCACCCTTTACTCCAAGGAACTGCTAAGCTTTAACCACATCACCCTTTACTCCAAGGAACTGCTAAGCTTTAACCACATCACCCTTTACTCCAAGGAACTGCTAAGCTTTAACCACATCACCCTTTACTCCAAGGAACTGCTAAGCTTTAACCACATCACCCTTTACTCCAAGGAACTGCTAAGCTTTAACCACATCACCCTTTACTCCAAGGAACTGCTAAGCTTTAACCACATCACCCTTTACTCCAAGGAACTGCTAAGCTTTAACCACATCACCCTTCACTCCAAGGAACTGCTAAGCTTTAACCACATCACCCTTTACTCCAAGGAACTGCTAAGCTTTAACCACATCACCCTTTACTCCAAGGAACTGCTAAGCTTTAACCACATCACCCTTTACTCCAAGGAACTGCTAAGCTTTAACCACATCACCCTTTACTCAAGGAACTGCTAAGCTTTAACCACATCACCCTTTACTCCAAGGAACTGCTAAGCTTTAACCACATCACCCTTTACTCCAAGGAACTGCTAAGCTTTAACCACATCACCCTTTACTCCAAGGAACTGCTAAGCTTTAACCACATCACCCTTTACTCCAAGGAACTGCTAAGCTTTAACCACATCACCCTTTACTCCAAGGAACTGCTAAGCTTTAACCACATCACCCTTTACTCCAAGGAACTGCTAAGCTTTAACCACATCACCCATTACTCCAAGGAACTGCTAAGCTTTAACCACATCACCCTTTACTACAAGGAACTGCTAAGCTTTAACCACATCACCCTTTACTCCAAGGAATTGCTAAGCTTTAACCACATCACCCTTTACTCCAAGGACTTGCTAAGCTTTAACCACATCACCCTTTACTCCAAGGAACTGCTAAGCTTTAACCACATCACCCTTTACTCCAAGGAACTGCTAAGCTTTAACCACATCACCCTTTACTCCAAGGAACTGCTAAGCTTTAACCACATCACCCTTTACTCCAAGGAACTGCTAAGCTTTAACCACATCACCCTTTACTCCAAGGAACTGCTAAGCTTTAACCACATCACCCTTTACTCCAAGGAACTGCTAAGCTTTAACCACATCACCCTTTACTCCAAGGAACTGCTAAGCTTTAACCACATCACCCTTTACTCCAAGGAACTGCTAAGCTTTAACCATATCACCCTTTACTTTAAGGAACTGCTAAGCTTTAACCACATCACCCTTTACTCCAAGGAACTGCTAAGCTTTAACCACATCACCCTTTACTCCAAGGAACTGCTAAGCTTTAACCACATCACCCTTTACTCCAAGGAACTGCTAAGCTTTAACCACATCACCCTTTACTCCAAGGAACTGCTAAGCTTTAACCATATCACCCTTTACTTTAAGGAACTGCTAAGCTTTAACCACATCACCCTTTACTCCAAGGAACTGCTAAGCTTTAATCACATCACCCTTTACTCCAAGGAACTGCTAAGCTTTAATAAGTTCTTTTATTCAATAGGTTTTAATTCGATTTTTATTTCGATTCGTTTTTATTTTCATACTATTTTGTCGACTTGGCTATAGGCTTATAGGCGAAGAAATGACAGAAATAGTCTATGTTTAAGTGAAGTCATGTTTTGAAATTAATTAGCCGAGGAATTTAGGATGCCGCCAGCATAGAATGGCAAAAATGTTTGGGTATAATTCTTTGAAAATAGGACGAATAAAATTTGTGTCCTTTTTACAACTACTCTAGGGGTTCAACCGTGTCAAATACATTTCTATGTTTTTAACAATTATAACTTTGCATAGATTCTTTAACTATCGCGCCTCTCCGTCCATAGTATATAGTATATAGCCAACGCCGCGCTTTACTCAGACTATATCAGTTCGATAAATATCCTGGCGTTTTATTTCATATTTTATTTGAAGTTAATTAAGTTTAATAATTGCATTATCAATTATTATTAATAATAATGTAACTGCAGATTTTGCAGAAAGATAAATTAAGTTTTATGTGTTAGAAATGCAGTTTTAATTATGCTGTTTAGTGTTTACTGTTTATACTGTATAACTATGAGATACCATGAATATTTACAAAAAAGGATCGCATTATAGCCCACTTGAAATAGGAGTTTTTATTTTATATTTTGAAGTCCGATGACGTTTCCAGTTTCCATATCGTTTTATATTTTATATTGCGCATTTTCATTTGTTACTGACCACATTAATTGCAGCAATTTGCAACTACAGTCGACTATTATTGAGTGAATCCTTATTCACCATAACTTATCAATCAATTAATGCAAAAAACATTGGTTAGGGGCCATCTACTTAGGACGTCCGACAAATAGGGAGGGGAGGAGGTGCGGTTTTGGAATTTCGGACAAATCCGGATTCCGGACAGGGGGTGGTTTTTGAAAATCCGGACGTCCGGAAATTTTGGCAGAATCAACGAAAAAGTCCCATTTATTTCAACTATTTGACACTAATTACTTTGCAAGTTTAGATCCCTGTGTTTTGAACGAGTACTAATTAAATTTACTTAAATGTAACTGTGCTAAACTTGTTAGACACTAAATGTATTATTGTCTATATTTTAAGTAACTACACATTTTATTAACAATGGATTCGAGTTGGTTTTATTTGTACTCTTAAAAGTAGCTTGAAATCCGGACAAATATAAAATTAGAGAACTGAGAAATATAAATCCAATGGGTGAACATAACTGGGACAACACAGACACGTAGCAGACTTTTCTTTTACCACAAACTTTTCTAACAACAGAATTAAACTTCCCAGTGCATATGCGGTGTTGCTGGTCATTTATTCCCATGTGTAGCAATGTCACGGTTGTGTTTTACCCAGGTGTATCTATCAAGGATGTGAAATACGTAGCGTATCTTATAAACGTACGGCATACGAATCCGTATTTCTCAAGAGTGTTTTGCGTACTTGGTAGCAATTTGTATTCAAGCGGATTATGATGCCGATTACTGATTAAGCAGATTATGATGTCAGATGTGCGGCGCGTGGCAGCTGAGCATGATGTACTAACACGACTTTTATATTTAATTCTTTAGTTCTCACACGTTTCTCGTGGCTTAATGAGGAGGTTAAGCTTTTTAACAGTTTTATTTTTGAACTAAGCAATAGAGTGTCTAAGCTATGGTTCTTTGACTCGCACCATATTTGTACTGTTTTATACCAGAGAAGAGAGGTCATTGTAGATCCTGATGGAAACGGAATCCACCTAACAGTACTGTCCAAGAGAGAGATAGCTCGCTCTCTTGCTACCTGTGTCAAAGAATTTATGGGGCGCAGCTACTTAATTCGAAAACACTGGCCGCTAAGACGGGAGTATGTTTCTTCATTGGGCAGACCTTAGAACAGCAATACAATATACAAACATACTACATCGAAAATTTGGACATAATTATTAATCTACTAAGAATCGTACAGTATACGAACCATGTCTTATCTGCACCAGCTTACGGCTAATCGAAATCTTATCTTTACTAATTTGAATCACGTAATCAGACCACTAAGTACATACACTTACAAGTTACAAATACAGAATACAAGTCACATTCACATTTCACATACTTCAATTAACTTTTTAAACTTATTCCCACAGAATAACACTTAACTGAATTGATTTCTCTAGTTAGGAGCTGAAGTTAGGGACCCGGACAGAGTGTTCACAAAACCTCGCACGTTTTCTCACTCTTCCCTGGCCCCATTTTCTTGGCTCACTCATCTGGAGTAGATACTTTCAGTAACTGTTTTTCCGTGTACTTTATTATATATTAATATACAGTAGCAAACCTATATCTACATTTAAACAAGAGTATCATT